AGAGGCTTTCTCAGGCAGCAGTGCTGCATGGGTTTGATCAAAGCTTATAAATGACTAATTGAAAGAATGTCAGTGGAGAACAGAATGCTCCTTGTATATTTCTGTGTGTGCTGAGAGCACAATTGTTTCTTTACGTAAGTTTTCCCTTCTCAAGCTTTGGGTATGATGGACAAAAAGAGCAGATTGTTTTGGTCTGTCAGCAGAGACAATGCCTGTCCTGTTATACCTCTGCTCTCATCACCTGACCAGCCACAGCTCTGTGGATTTTGGCAAGCAGGGGGGTGTGAGTGTTCTCCAGCTACAGCATTACAAAGAAAACAAATGGCATCACAACGAGTTCCTGACTCTGCTGCAGCATGCATGTGCTTGACACTTGACATTTCTTTTGGGATGGGGTGAGGAGCAGAGGCCCCTTCCCCTCCCTCAATCTGGAGTAGGGGACAGATTTATCTCTTTAAAAAAAAGAAAAAAGAGGACGACTTGTGGCACCTTAGAGACTAACAAATTTATTTGAGCATAAGCTTTCGTGAGCTACAGCAGTGAGCCATAGCTCACGAAAGCTTATGCTCAAATAAATTTGTTAGTCTCTAAGGTGCCACAAGTTCTCCTTTTCTTTTTGCGGATACAGACTAACACGGCTGCTACTCTGAAACCTGAGATTTATCTCTGAATCACTTCTAATTAGTGTTGGCACACAGTAAAAACCAGATGTGCAGTCAAAAATACTGGGCTTCGCTCTCCTCTCCCCCTGTTTCTGCCTTTCTGTGCTATTTCCTTCCCACTTTCCGTCAGTTTGAGCTTCCACCTTTCTGTGTGGATGGACTTGGTGTGTGAGAGCCTCCATTCTCCCTTTTGCCCTTTGTCGTCAACTGGCTAAGGAGGGGCTGAGTTTCAGTTTTACATTGCTGCCAATTCCTGTAGTATCTGAGCACCTCTCCATCTGTAATGTATTCATCTGCACAACATCCCTGTAGGGCAGGGCTGTTATCCCTGTTGTACACATGGGGAAACTGAGGCCCAGAGGTACTATGAATTGTCCCAGTGTTGCACACATTTCTGTGTAAAATAGATAATAATGCAGCCCCTTGGAGACTTTGCGGGGTAAAACCTCTATGTGGAGTAGAGCTTTTCATTTTATTTTACTTGTTTAAGTTGGTTTGTTTTCTGGGGTTTTGTCCATGGTTGGTGTTGGGGGTACGGGGAGGTTGGGTGGAAGAGGGTGTCAATGTTCTGAGTCTCTCTCATGATGAAACATGCATGTGGGTCCCTCTGTAGCCTGCCAGCAGGAGGGGTTGCTAGAAGGGCCTTTGCTCTTTCACATCTGCTCTCTCTTAGGGGCTGAGTGCACTGCCTTGCCAGTCTCCAGTTTGGTCTGATGTGGGGCATTTTTCCCCATTTGGTAGGTGTCTCTGCTCCCAGCATGGAGTATGTGCTGCTGGTCCTGCTGAAGTGATAAGCACCAGGGAGGGAGAGGAGCTGTGGAAGCTTAAGACAATGTTGGCACAAGAACAAATGGAATAGTGGCCATGAGTATATTTACATTGGAAATTAGGTTTCTAACCATTAGAGGAGAGAGGTTCTGGAGAAGCCTCCTAATAGGGGCTGTTGGGGCAAATGACCTAACTAGTCTGAAGCTGCAGCTTGATGAGTCTGTGACCAAGATTATATGATGGGGCTGCCTGCAGTACCAGGGGACTCAGTGACCTTCAAGCCCTATGGTCTGATGTTCATACAGTGCTTGCAGGAGTAGCAGCCAGGGAATGAAACCAACACAGTATGGATCAGTTTCACTTCTTGCTCTTGCTGGGTCAGGAAGTGCAGTGTACAGGTGTACGAGAGACAAGGTCCTCCGCTCTTACTGGGAAAATAGGATAGACACACATGGGAAGGAGGTGATTGGATCAACTATCTGTTGATCGCCTCTGTCATAAATATAAATGGAAGGGTAACCATCTTTCTGTATACAGTGCTATAAAATCCTGCCTGGCCAGAGGCAACATCCTGTTACCTGTAAAGGGTTAAGAAGCTCAGCTAACCTGGCTGGCACCTGACCCAAAGGACCAATAAGGGGACAAGATACTTTCAAATCTTGGCGGGGGGGGGGGGGGGGAGGCTTTTGTTTGTGCTCTTTGTTTATGTGGTGGTTCTCCCTTGGGACTGAGAGAGGCCAGACAGATTAGGATGGGTTGGAGAAGATGGATTTCGAAGCATAACTCATGCTGAGGAATGGCAGTATCTGTGATGACGAGGACTGTCACCCCCCCAAAAAAAAATATATCAGGCACAGGCAGCCCAAGTGTGGAGAGTTAGGAAGATAGCTCCAAAGAGACTGGAGTTCCTGTTGTTCTCATAGTGAATAGAGAGATTTCAGAGTAACAGCCGTGTTAGTCTGTATTCGCAAAAAGAAAAGGAGTACTTGTGGCGCCTTAGAGACTAACCAATTTATTTGAGCATAAGCTTTCGTGAGCTACAGCTCACTTCATCGGATGCATACTATGGAAAGTGTAGAAGATCTTTTTATACACACAAAGCATGAAAAAATACCTCCTCCCACCCCACAGTCCTGCTGGTAATGGCTTATTTAAAATGATCACTCTCCTTACAATGTGTATGATAATCAAGTTGGGCCATTTCCAGCGCAAATCCAGGTTTTCTCAGCCCCCCCCCCCCCACACACACACACAAACCCACTCTCCTGCTGGTAATAGCTTATATAAAGTGACCCCTCTCTTTACAACGTGTATGATAATCAACTTCAAATCCAGACTCCAGCGAGAAACTGTTGAATTGGAATTCATTTGCAAATTGGATACAATTAACTTAGGCTTGAATAGAGACTAGGAGTGGCTAAGTCATTATGCAAGGTAACCTATTTCCCCTTGTTTCCACCCCCCCCCCCCGACGTTCTTGTTAAACCCTGGATTTGTGCTGGAAATGGCCCACCTTGATTATCATACACATTGTAAGGAGAGTGATCACTTTAGATAAGCCATTACCAGCAGGAGAGTGGGGTGGGAGGAGGTATTTTTTTCATGCTTTGTGTGTATAAAAAGATCTTCTACACTTTCCACAGTATGCATCCGATGAAGTGAGCTGTAGCTCATGAAAGCTTATGCTCAAATAAATTGGCTAATGAATAGAGAGAGGATCTGACGGAACCATGCCCACCAAACACCAAGCCAAATGGTAGAGCTGTAAGGCTCCTAGGAGAAGTCATACCTAGGAGCTGTGCTGGGAAGAGGTGTCTGAGAAGTGGCTCAGTAAAGCAGGATCTTCCCTGAGTGTGCAGAGTGGAAGGGCTTCTTTCTGTCCAGTCCAATATTAAAATCCAGACACTAATGCTTGTTTCTTGATATTAACACTTGTGTATTGAAATAATTCCATCCGTACTTTATACAAGGAATTATTTCAATGCACAGTAGTATCGGATCACTGACGACATCAAATAACACAAGAATGGGGGTCACCTGATTAATAGGCAGCAGGTTTGAAAAAAGGAAGTACTTCAGACAGCATACAGTCAACCTGAGGAACTCGTTACCGGGCAATGTTGTGAAGGCCAAAAGTATAACTGTTCAAAAAAGAATTAGGGCATATCTACACTTGCCATTTAAAATAAGAAAAAGTCCCTTTTTTTTCACAAAAAGCATGGGATACACTTGTTAATGACTTCTTGCAGTGAAACTCAGAAGTTTCACTGCAAAAAGAAAACCACCTCCAGGAGAGGTTTACAGCTCTTACCGGTGATGCATTTGCAATGATGTGCAGGTGAAGACACATTCTTCCTGTTTACGTAGCTTTTAGCCTCTGCAGGATATCCCACAGTGCCAAGGTGACCACTCTAGCCAGCTGCTCTGCTGCTCTGATGCCAGATAAACAGACATCCACCCCTCCCCCTGTAAAGCCCCGGGAACTTTAAAACTCCCCTTCCTGTTTTCTTGGCAAGTGCTCACTTATCTGGCCAGGTGACAATGCCTGCTCCACGGAGCAAAGGATCCCCTGCCTGGAGCCATGCTGAGCTACTGGAGCTTATCCATGTTCGGGGAGAGGAGGTTGTGCAAGGACCCAGGATGCCCCGCCATCATCCCCCACTTCCCTCCCATGGTCAAACTGGAGAGAGCTGCACTGTGGGATAGCTTCCCTAGAGTGCAGCTCTCATCGGGGATGGACGTGCTGCTAATGTAAACACTCTGACGCCTGAGGAATTAAGTGAGTACACAAACCAGTGCTTTATTTTCACTGATTCCCTATCACCGGTTAAACTTACAGCAGAAAAACTCTGCAAGTGTTGAGAAGTTCATGGAGGATCAGTCCATTCTTGGCTATTAGCCAAGATGGTCAGGGATGCAACCCCATGCTCTGGGTGTCCCTAAACCTCTAATTGCTAGAAGCTGGGACTGGATAGCAGGGATGGATCACTCCATAAGTTGCCCTGTTCTGTTAATTCCCTCTGAAAACATCTGGTACTGGCCACTGTCAGAGACAGGATAGTCTGTTAGATGGGCCACTGGTCTGACCCAATATGGCCATTCTTATTTTCTTAACAGCTTTGAACAAAGCAAAGTAGCAATGAGTGGAGCGTGACACTACTTTCATCTGCTTGGCATGCCAGCAGCAGGGGACAGAGGGAAGAGCTTAAATCCCTCTCATGTTTTTCCATTTGGGTGGCCAGAACTGCTTATTAACTTTTAAAAGAACTCATGAAAACAACAGTTGACAAACAGGTAGAAGTAGGTCTTCATGGGCCTGGAGTTGCAAAGTGAAACAACCAACAAACTTGAAAATGTGCAACTCTGAATTCTATTGGTTGTCTGGCTTTAAGAGCTAGTTTTTTAACCTAGCTTGTGGGTCAGTAGTCTGTACTCTGTTCTCCAGTACATAAAAGGAAAAGGAAGAAATTCATCCCAAGGGCATGCTGTACCTCCGGGGTGCTCTGACTTCATGTCCTGTCCTTTTCCAGGCGTAACTCATAGCTGTTTCTCCTGTGTTCTTGCTTGCAGGTTGTGCACCTTGACTTTAAAGAAACTGGTCGTCTTAAAGGAAATGGATAAGGAGCTCATTTCTGTGGTCATTGCAGTCAAAATGCAGGTAACTTGCATTTAATACTTAGCCTTAAATGGTAAGAGCAACACAACAGTTGCAGTGTTAAGCGCTGAAATGTCAAGAAATATGAAAATTAAGGTTGCATTTTGTAATGCATGTGTACAAGGAGACTATCACCTACTATTCCACGAATACAATACGCTGTTTCGGTACCTGTGCAGTGTTAGGTTCATGAGTAAGATCTTAACATTTTTTCCTTTCTTGTGTACTTCCACTGTCATAGTATTTAAATATATCTTCACAGAGTGAGTTAGACTTCCCATCATTAAGGCCAAAAGTAACTTTTTATTATGAAACTGAGTTTCTGTTACAAACCCTCATTCTCCCAACTTCATCAAAACTCAACCTCTTGACCTGTTTTACATGTTACATCTTGTCTCAGGGCAGAACAGAGGTTTTTTCCCTCATAGAGAGCTTAGGGCCAGTCAAATGGAGCTACAGAAGGACGGGAGTTAACATGCTCCCTCTTGCACTTTCAGAGGATTTTCCTTGTGTTTTTTTGCTTCATAATAACTACAGAATCACTGCCCAACTGCACTGCTACCGTAATCCTGGTAGAAAAGTGACTTCAAAGGGGTGCAAAATGCAGGAGAATGGATATCACTTGACTTAAAAATAATGTATATTTTAAAGTGTATGAACTTGCGTTGCAAGTGTGTTATATGGACCTGTAAGTGTCTAAATTAATGCATTGGTTTTATACGTACATTGTGTACATACGTCAGTGTGCATGTAGGCAGGAGCTAAGCTGGGAAGGAATGGGGTCCATTCCTGGTCTACTTGTAAGCTCAGCTCAACATACAGGGATTCCTGTCACTGAACAGTGCTTAAGCATTGTTTGAAAGCCAACACGATTCCCAGGCATAAAACCTCACTAATCTTGAGCTGAAGTTGATTAAATCTGCTGCTGCAGTCAAAACCCCTGCAGAGAACTTAGTAGTTGTCAAAAAAAACCAAAAACGTTAGCCTGAACATTTAAACTTAAAGGGTTCATCTTACAAGAAGACCCAGAATATTCAAATACAGAGCTATGGATTCAACCAGCTGTCACTGCCACTCTGAGAACAGCGAGAAACTCTGCTACAACCTCATCTGTGCATGTTGAGGCTGTCAAGTCCTCGTTTCCAGCAGGCCCTAGCAGCTCTGTTGCTATTTGGAGTACCGGTTCTGTCACTTCCTGCTTTAAATCAGAAAATATTTCCATCAGATTTCCTTCATCCCCTCTCTTCTCTAACGAACAGGCATCCAAATAGCTTTGTTAGTTCCTCATGCAATTCCAGAATGAGGGAGTTCAGTTCCCAGAACCTCTATGTCAGGATATCAGGAAACCGATTTCAGTGCCCCTTATGGGAAGGTGTCTTGAAGTTTGGGGGAGATAGGGCCCTTCACCCCCCACTTCCTGCGATTCACCCGTGACACTCAGCCAGCCAGTAAAACAGAAGGTTTATTAGATGACAGGAACACAGTCCAAAACAGAGTTTGTATGTACAGAAAACAGGACCCCTCAGTGAGGTCCATCTTGGGGGATAGGGAGCCAGACCCTGTTCTGGCCTTCCTCCATTTCCCCTGCCAGCTCCAAACTGAAACTCTCCCACCCCTCCTCTCCTCTCCATCTGCATTTTCACTGACCATTTCCGTCTTAGCCAATTGTTTCCCTGGATTCAAATTCAAATCCTCGGCCATTACAGGAGCAGGGCCTGGATCCTGTCCCAAAGACACACAGTCACCCCCCAACAGGACCGCACAGCCGATATCCTGGAGAACCCAAACTACCAGCCAGCCCGACCCCTCCTGCACAGGGATCTGGCCCATAGGCATGGCGAGGGCCTTCATCCCTGGGACCTTCACCCAGGTCACACAGCCCCTCAGCATCTGGTGAGGCTGCACCACCTGGGGCCTGACAACAGTTCTCTCTGTCCCAGGATCTTGCCACCCCAGGAATGTCTCCTCATTGACCACCACCTTCCGCTCCCACTGGGGGTCTGAGAGGCCTGTGCCCAGGAGAGTCCACGCAGACACATAGGCCAGGGCCAGGAGTGGAAGCCTGTCCACCAACCCACCCATCTGGCTGATGGCGTCTATGGCCTTGAGACCCAGCAAGGGAGCTAAATACCGCGGCTTTTCTGCAGGGTCCCCCTGGTTCAAATCGCCAGCCTGCTCGAAGGCAGTGAGGTGGGCTTCCACATCTTCCCCACCCCCCAGACCCCTTAACCAGGGGCAGCAATTTAGTATCGAGGTTCCCTGCAGTGCTGGCACCCCGGTGTCTATTCCCACTCACCCCTGGGAAGTCCACTATGCCTCTCCACTCCACCATCACCAGTTCATGCTGCTGCTGCTTCTCCTGCAGCTCTTTCTTGGGCTCTCGCTGTCTCTCATGGTCCTCTTGCTCCTTTGGACTCCGCTCCAATCCCATCTGTGTCTGATCGCCTGATGGGGAACCTGACCGTGAAGACCCCCGTCTGGTCGGGGACAGGAGTCTTGGGGATGCCTGGCTACAGCTACAGCTGCTCCCAGATCCTCTTGTAGCCCCATCTGGGTCAGGAATCCGCTCCTTAGAGCAGTCATCGTCCTCCAGCTGCACAACTAACTGTGCTTTGGTGAACTTTCCAATATGTAACCCTCTCTTTTTGCACAGGTTTACAATGTCCTTCTTTAGGAGATGGTGATAGGCCATCACTTCATTGTTCCCAAGTTGCTGTGGACTCACATGCCTGTGTGCTCTCAGCTCCCCATGGTTTCCAGGAAGAACCCCTAGTGTGCTAGCCCTTCTCCAGGTCACCACCTCTCTCCCAGGGTCAAGCCGCAGACTCCTCTGCCCCTGAGATTGCTCTATGCAGTCCCCAGGGAGACCCCATTACTGCAACAGTCCTCCTCTCGTCCAGGGCCAAGCCACAGGCTCCTCCACCCCTGAGACTGCTCCCCGCAGTCCCCAGGGGGAATCCGTTACTGCAACGGTCCTTCTCGCTGGTCACACTCTCCCAGGAGTTAAGCTAAGCGTAGCTTCTCCGCCCCCTGAAACCGCTCCTCTCTGAGACTTCAGCACGCTTGGTCCTCGTCAATCACCCTTTGTTTTACTGCTCCCCAGTCACTCACTGAAGGAAGCGCCACCCAGGGGGTGCAGTACATCCCACCACTGCCGCCAGTTGTCACGAAGTTTGGGGGAGACCGGGCCCTGCACCCCCCACTTCCTGTGATTCACCGTGACTCTCAGCCAGCCAGTAAAACAGAAGGTTTATTAGACAACAGGAACACAGTCCAAAACAGAGCTTGTAGGTACAGGAAACAGGACCCCTCAGTGAGGTTCATCTTGGGGGGTAGGGAGCCAGACCCAGTTCAGGCCTCCCTCCATTTCCCCAGGCAGCTCCAAACTGAAACTCTCCCACCCCTCCTCTCGCCTTTTGTCTCTTTCCCGGGCCAGGAGGCCACTTGATCTCTTTGTTCTCCAACACCTTCAGTTGGTACCTTTGCAGAGGAGGGGCCCAGGCCATCAGTTGCCAGAAGAGAGGGTGTCAGCCATTCTCTGTGCAGACCCTATCACACTGGCCCTCTAGGGCTCTGCAACAAATACACACCCTTATCCCACCACCTAGATACTTAAGAACTGCATAGGGGAAACTGAGGCACCCACACAGTATTCAGAGAAAACATTAAGAACACTCCCACTTTGTCACAGAAGGAGCCAAGGGATTTATTGAGCCCCTTCTCACAGGTGAGGAAGGGGCTTGTGGAGAGGGGTTCCAAGGTTCCATAAGCAGCCCCAGAAAGTGCACACATGGGCATGCGTGGTCAGCCCCAGAAAGTGTACACATGGGCATGCGTGGCATCTGGGGCTCGTATCACTTAGCTCTGTTCCACCGCTCACGCTCCCAAATGATGGTCCTGTCACTTACATGCGCCCTTCCTGAAACTGAGCAGCGTGTGAAATACACACAGAACACCATGGGTGTGCCAAATTTCAGGTCTGAAGAGGCAGCTGTTTTCACTGTAGGGAGTTTTTCATAAAAAAAAAAAAATTTTTGTAAAAAAAAAAAAAAAAAAAAAAATTTTGTAAATTATTATTTGGGGGGGGAAGGGGGGGGAAAATTTTTTTCTCCCCCCCTTTTTTTTTCTCCCCCTGGGGGTTTTTTTCAATTTAAAAAGGGAAAAAAAAAAAAAAATAGTGGGAAGGGGGGGGGGGGGCCCCCCCCCCTTCCCCTTCCTCCTTCCTTTTTCTTTTTGGGGGGGTTTGGGGGGGGTTTGGTTTTTTTTTTTTTGGGGGGGGGGTGTTTTTTTTTTTTTTTTTTTGGGGGGGGGGGGGGGGTTCTTCTTTGAGTGATTGCTCATGTATATTCCACAATAAGTGTGCGTGCTCGCCACGTGCACCGGTGATGGAAGTTTTTCCCCGAGCAGTACCCGTAGGCGGGGAGCGCCCCCGCGACCCCTGGAGTGGTGCCTGCCTGGCGCGGTATAAGGGGAGCTGCGCGCTCCCCCCACCCTCAGTTCCTTCTTGCCGCCAGTGAAGGTGCATCAGAACTGCTCTGCTCCAGCTTTGCTGTAGCTCATCCCCAGAACTCTTCATTCAGTGTTAGTACCTGTAGTTAGTTAGCTGTTCAGTTAGTCAGTGAGCCCGGGCCGGGGCATGCCCTGTGCCTTGGGTTTTAAGTCGTGCGGCTCTTGTAGGTGTTCCATGCCAAGAAGTGACTTGCATGCAGACTGTTTGGGAGAAACCCATATCAGTGAAAGGTGCAAGATTTGCAAGTTGTTTAAGCCTTGGACCAAAAGAGAAAGGGACATTAGGCTCCGGGCCATCCTGATGGAGTCAGCACTGACCCCGACTCTGGTACCCAAACCGGTACCCGGCACCGTGACGTTGGTACACAGCAACCCTCTGGTGCCATCGACCAGTTGGCACCACTCCCCTTTCATGGGGCATGCCAAGAGGGCCAGGAAGACTCCCTCTTCGCAGCGGCACTGAGGGAAGTCTGGGACAGAGGCTAGGCCCATGT